CTCTCTCAGCTGGGTCTGCCTCTCCACCAGGTCGCGGATCTGCTTCTCCACGGCCTCCAGCTCGAGCTGCACCGAATGCAGCTCGAACGTGTCCTCACCTGCACTCAAAAGTAGACCCCCATCCGCCATTAAAGCAAGTAACAGTGAATAGTGTATTAGTAATGTAAGCGAGATTAGCGGCAACCACGCTGGCGATGCTAGCGGGCTAATAGCGGACTCGGGAAGTCAAAAATAGAACTAGTGATAAGGTGCTCTGATTGTTTTGTAGAATACGTTAGGGGATATATTCACACGTTATAGAAACGAAAATGGTGTATAAAATTGATTTTAAGATAAAAAATTAGATGACAAAGAATTAACTTGACGGAGCTCAAACTCCAAACACACAGCAGCAACAAACAGGAAGTCTTTAGGTTGCTGCATTGACGCCACATTCAAACAGTGGCTGATCGCCAGAACATTTCAAAATAAGTTCATTTGCAGCGGGCCTTTTTTATATACATATATATATATATATATAAGAAAAGATGGAGTTTAAGTTTGTCATGTTTATACATTCAGATTGTTGTATACATTTAATATTTCTGTGCTCTCTGCCTAGGGTTCTGAATGTAAGTTGGCATATAGTACACTGAGAGGAAGTAAGGACTTATCGGGATAGGATCGCTGCTTCCGGTTTTGTTGTTGTGAACTGCTATGGTTGCAGTCGAATAAAAGGAGTTTTCCATTAAGTTTAAAACGGTTGTCTTTTGAATAACACCAACAAGCAGATGAGCACCAAATTAAATCCCTACACAAAGCTGCGTGGGCAGAAAGTTCTCCAGCAGAACGGTTCACTTATTTCCTGTTTGTGAAACGATAGGACTGTAAAAAGTTCTGCACAGAACTTGTGGATAAAAACAAGTGGGCTACGGTCGCCACATTAGCGTAAGAATTTTTCATCCTTCAGGATCCAACAGTTCACTTTATACAGTTCACAGGAAAGGATTAATAAAGAGTGAACAATAAAAGCTGAGTAGTCTCCATAAAAGTTACCTTTTTTGCCATCTAGTCCAGCACCAGAAAGTCATTCTATAATCATTGTCAGCCTCTGCTGTTTGTACTGTAAAAACGATAGTACTTTATTGTAGTGCTGGGCAGTATACCGGTTCATACTGAATACCGGTGGTTTATTTGTGTTATGATATGGATTTTTAAAATACCGCAATACCGGTATGTCACTTAATGTTCGGAACGCGACACTGTTTGAAAGGGGTCCCTTTTCACTGTTGCACTGTGGTGAGGGAACAGCTGTCTGTGTTTCTAGGCGTGTTCCGAAACTGAAGCTGTAGAACTAATGGAACGTGATGACACAGAACTCATCCACATTGACCACCACAAATATCCACTGCCCCCCGCCATCAGCTCCCGCGTCTCACACACACGAGCGTGACTTTAGCACTAGATTTGGCAACTTTCAGACCCTTTTAGCGGCCTTTTTTCCGTAGAATTTTCATACTGACAAACCTAGTGAATTTTTTTGGATAAACCTTAGCTATGGTTCAGTTGGAAGATTTCGCCAGTGCTGTCCCGCGAACGCGAGGTCTGACTTTCCTGGCGAAGTGTCACCTCTCTCGGCGTAACTGACCACTTCTACTTGTGAGCTAGCTCTGTCTATTCAAACGCTCTAACTTCTTGTCTAATCCCACCTCAATTAGTGAAATAATATTGAAATCCACTTCTTCCTGCCGGGCTGACCCTGCACCAACATTCCTTTTGAAACACTGCACCTCTGTCATTTCTGCTCCAATTTCACATCTTGTAAACATGTCTCTTACTTCTGCCACTGTTCCAGTTTCACTTAAAACTGCTGCGGTTACTCCTATTCTTAAAAAGCCAAGTCTAGACCCAACTGATTACACTAATTATCGCCCAATCTCCAACCTACCGTTTGTTTCAAAAATCATGGAAAAGGTTGTTGCCGCTCAATTGCGGTCATTTCTAGCTCACAATGAACTCTTTGATATGTTTTCGTTCACAACACAGTACAGAAACTGCTCTAGTAAGGGTTATAAACAACCTACTCCTTTCTGGTGATTCGGGCAATCTTTCTATACTTCTACTACTCGACCTCAGCTCAGCTTTTGATACGGTCTCTCAAACTATTACTCATGGGCCTCTCAGAGATTGGCAACTCAGGAATGGCATTATCCTGGTTTTCCTCATATCTGACGGACAGACAATATTACATCACCATACATAACTATACATCTCCCTCTGTTCCTCTTAAACAGGGTGTGCCACAGGGCTCAGTCCTAGGGCCATTATTTATTTTTTATATTATGCCCCTCTGACAAATTATTCGCCACCACGGTCTACAGTACTACTGCTATGCCGATGATATTCAGATATACACTTCCTGCCGACCTGACTCTCTCCACCAGACTGCATCTCTATTGTCATTTGTCAATGAGTTAAAGACCTGGCTTAGCTCCAACTCTCTCAGTTTGAATTTGACTAAAACAGATATCTTGTCGGGCCCCCAACTGTAACAAAAAACATAACAAATGCCCCTAGATTTGACCTCGAAGCCACATCAATTATCCCATCTGCCACAGTTAAAAACTTAGGTATCATTCTCGACTCTTCTCTAAATCTAGATGCTTGTATTAGTAAGCTCTCCAAAGTTGCATTTTTTTTTCAACTTCGCCGTATTGCCAAACTCCGTTCCTTCATCAGTCCAAAAGATGCTGAATTACTAGTAAATGCTTTAATCACATCTTGCCTTGATTACTGCAATGCTCTTTCCGGATTACCAGTACGCTCCATCTCTCAATTGCAATCTATTCAAAATTCTGCAGTGAGAATGCTAACTTACACTAAACGGTCTGCACATATCACTCCTATTCTATTCAACCTCCACTGGCTACCTGTGTCCTCTCGTATCATTTATAAAATTATTCTGCTTACCTTTAAGTCACTCCTTGATTTTGCACCTACCTATCTCTCTGACCTGCTTTCTCCATATATTCCCTCTCGTCCACTTCAATCATCTGGAGTTGAACTTCTTTGTGTTCCGAGATTTCGCCTATTATCTATGGGAGGTAGATCTTTCTCTGCTATGGCTCCCAAACTTTGGAACACATTGCCCCTGGCTCGCCGGACAATAACCACACTCCAAAAATTGAAGTCTAAACTCAAAACGTATATGTTCCACCAATATTACCTGTTATAATGTGTTTTTTTTTTTATGATACTGTATTACTGTGGTATGCAACTGCAACCACATGTTCTGGACTTGGAAAATGTCTTGTCCTTGTATGTAGGAATGTATTTGCTTCTGTCATTGTGCAGTGTCCTTGAGCTTGGGAAAGGCGCTTTATAAATTAAACTTATTATTATTATTATTATTATTCTAACACCACTAAAGAGAGAAATGTTACACAGGCATACTGTTCCCCATTTTATAACGCTTTATAATGACTCGGACACCCAACACATAAATCTAGCAGCGCTGTTTCCAAGCGCAGCACTCACTCACCTCAGCCGGCCGCCATCTTGCCAGATCCACTAAAGAACCCAGAGTGCCCGCGGAATGCGCTTTTATACCTGTGCTGCGGGGGCATCATGGGAAATGGGAGAAACCTAACGTGCGTGAAAAAACATTTGCAATTGGCATGTAAAATGTGTTATGTTTTATTTAAAATAAATCTATCAGATATATCAAATGCAAGTAAAAATACTATTAAATATAAAGTGGTTGAAACAAATAAGGTTTGTTCTTGGTTGGAGGAATCGTTGTGTGGAGAATGGGACACCTCAAGGGAGTGTGATAAGCCCTTTATTATTTAACATTATGATTAATGATGTATTTGAAGAAGTGTCTCCAGGAATTAATACGGCTTTATATGCTGATGATGGAATAATGTGGAAAAGAGGAAGAAATTTATCTTTTAATTTGGATAGAATTCAAGAAGCAATTGAGATAGTAGAAAGGTGGTCTTTAGAATGGGGGTTCAAATTTTCATTATCCAAAACATATTACCAGATATTTACCAGGAGGAAAATTAAAGACAATAAGGGCAAACGCTTCCTCAGGCGCACAGACGGCACGGATCGTTAGGAGCACACTTCTGTGAGCCGTGGTAAGTCATCCTAATAAAAACATTCACAGGTGTCAGTATATAGTGAGAAATCATGCATTTTATTTGTGAATATAGTCAATCTTTGCTCTAGCGAAATGTGTGCTGTTGTCTGCTGGGCTGCTCTGATACAATAAGACAATAAACTATAGCTTCTATATGAATAAATCCTTGCGTAGGAAAAAAATATGGATGATCCAAGTATAACTATTGCACTCAGCAGAATAGAAGGAAAACAGTTAATATTAAATGCATGCAATATTGTATGGCAGATATACTGAGACTCGTGTCTAACAGGTAGGCATTATCACAAAGTACAAAGGAGTATAAAGAGAAGAAAAATCATTCATAACATAAGTAGAAGGGAACAAGTCATTTTAACACGTATACGAACAGGACATTCAAATCTTAACCAAACACTATACATTACAGGGAAACATAATACTGGTCTATGGGATGTGTGTTTAACAGAGGAATCAGTGGAGCACGTTATGATGATATGTACAGCATATGAAAGAGAAAGGGATCGACTTAAAGATGAATTACAATCCTTAGGAGTTAAAGAATTTTCATTAAGTAGTATTCTGAATGATGGTCCAAATGCAGGAAAACAAATAAGTGCAATCATGAGATTTCTTAAGAATTGTGGAATAATGAACAGAATTTAAGATTTAGGTGAGAAATGGTACATTCTCTTCACACTCCATCACAGTAGGTGGCGGTATGCACCTATGAAGTTGGTTCGCAACCCGCCATAAAACCAAAAGAAGAAGAAGAAGAAGAAGAAGGAATCGTTGTGCGCATGCGCAATTAGCGTCATTTGGATCAGCTGTGCGTGAAGGTAAGCAACAGTGTCTTTATTCGTCCTTTTTGCACATTAGACTTGTAATTGTTCATGTTTTGAAGCATTTAATGCCTCTTTCTTCATACGTTTGTAACATATCGTGCTGTTTGACGCCAGTCCGTGACGCAGCAGGTAAACTCTTAGGTAAATAATGTAATGCGTTTTACTGATTTAAACCGGCAACTCAACACGATAAACCTATCACTTTATACATTGTGTATTTTTCAAATTTTGACTAGAAATTAGTCTAAATAGCTGTTGCCTTTCTCACACGCTCCCAGCAAATACTAATAATAATATTAGGCGATGTCATTACCGAGACCTTGTTAAAACATCATGTAATGACTTTGTTTTGAAATGAGGCATGAGTCTAGATATGTTTTGGTAATATTATGCCAGAACTTAAACTGAATCTGGAATGATATTTGGTAAGAGCAGATGTAATGCTGGAGTGTTTTGAGCTGCACTGTTTGCAGGTTTCTCCAGCTGAAGATGTGGATCTGTGCTGCTGCAATGCTCTGTGAAGGGGACTGTTGAGCGCCTGTGCCTTTTATTCTGCAGAGAACACACACACACATGTGCTTTATTGCAGTTTAATCATAGAGAAATGCTTTAGGAGCAGCAAACTTGTAGGGTTTTTTTTACTGTCTTTCCCACAAACAGTTACACTTCTCAAATTCTTCTTTGCAGGTTAGGGCTGCACGATATTGAAGAAAATGTGATCTGCCGAAGCTCAATAAATAATGCCATGTGTGATACAATGTGTAAAATCAATTTAAATTCTATTAAAGTATATTTAAAGACTAAAAATAAAACGGCATGTTTCGCATTCTCTCTTAGTGAAGAAAGCATCCTTCCTTACAGCTTCTGGACGTCAGCAGCAGTGTTTTACTGTAGCACTACTTTAAGAGTTATTCTTACATTAATAATGTTATCATCAGTGTTATTGGACAGACCCGGCTCAGGTCATGATTCCAGCTGGAGACATTCACAATGATCCAGGAACACTTTGAAAAACCCTGATCTAAAACAAACTAAATCTAATACCAGCACATCTTTGCTCCGTTTGGTTATATATATATATATATATTAGTTAACCCAACCTGAAAACTTAACTTCAAGATCATCCTGGTAAACAAAAGCACCTCAGACTTGGGCTGGGTAATTTTTTTTTTATTGTACTGTATTGTTGTTAAAATGAGAAAAAAAGATGTAAGTTACTTATAATAGGACTAATAAAATAAAACGAATATACAAATGAAATGAGCGATGCTTTAGGTATTCCAGGTTTACGTTACATTAACAGAAATTGAATATTCAAGAGTAAATCACTGCTTGAGCAATTTCAGCATTAATGCAATGTTGCACGGCTGCAGCGTGTGCTTGGATGTAAATGGCAGAAGTGATAAATAAGCTGTGTGTATTGTGTTGAGGGATTCAAACAGGCACATTATCAGTGAGGTTAATGGAAACAGGAGGCAGAGCGGCACACTTTTATTGACTGATGTGTTGATGTGAATCTGTTTTAGAGCGTTACACAGTCAGCTGGCGTCACTGATCTGACAATCCCTCATCAGTCGGCACGCTTCTGTGAGGATCTCCAGCCGTCCTCTGTATTCATCGCTGACCGCGGCAAACGCTTCCTCAGGCGCACAGACGGCACGGATCGTTAGGAGCACACTTCTGTGAGCCGTGGTAAGTCATCCTAATAAAAACATTCACAGGTGTCAGTATATAGTGAGAAATCATGCATTTTATTTGTGAATATAGTCAATCTTTGCTCTAGCGAAATGTGTGCTGTTGTCTGCTGGGCTGCTCTGATACAATAAGACAATAAACTATAGCTTCTATATGAATAAATCCTTGCGTAGGAAAAATGTTTTAGCTAATTTCAGCTGTAGGAGAGCAAGTTTTTACTAGGTTATTATTTAGGTTATGTCGCATAAGCCTCAGCCACTCCTGACAGCAAAATGGAAATATTTGCATGACTTTCTAACAGTTACAGATGAAGAATATACCTGTGACATGTCAGTTATGCACTGGGGAAAACGCGTCTCAAATATATTAAACAGCACGAATATATTTGCTGTTTGTCATGGTGGATCGATTTGATCCATGATCGACATTAAGGGCTGCTTAAGAATAAGCGTGCACATCAAATTATCTTGACTCACTGAACCTGGGTCAAATTAGTGAGACTGCGTGAACAAATTGTCATTTATGGATCTTTATCCCCGATTGATGTGCTAGGTTATTTAAAGTCAGACTTTAATCCCTGCTTTTCCTCGTGTCTTTTATGAAACCGACCCCAGAATGAAGACAATACAATCGTGAAGTGACAAGTGCATAAATCCCAACTTCCAAACCTTTTCCTGAAAGATGCTTCAACTTTGCAATAGATCTCAAATGGAAGACGTCTCCTCTAACAACAGCACCAATTTGTTTATTAAAAAAATAGTGAAGAGACAAAGATCACTCCAAGGTCTTTAATTTATGTGCACTGGACCTGGGCTTCCAGAGCAGAGTAGGAATTTGCAGTGCAAACTGCAATTAACACCTCAATTTTATCCTCATTTAGCTGCCAAATCTAATGTCATCCATTTCTTCAATAACTCAATTCAATAACACATAGAATGAAGCAGTGGTGCCAAGCTTTACTGGAAGTTAACTGTAAATCATCCGCACAAGTGATATTAAATGTAGTTTTTGCTAAATGAGAGCGAAGGGAAGCACAAAGGGAAAACAACAAAGGTCCCAAAATGGACCCCTGAAGCACACCATACAAGACAGCTGCAGATGATGAGGGAAAATCTCCTAAATAGAAAATGCCCTATTCTCAAGATAAGAAGCAAACCACTGTAATGCAGTGCCTTGGATATACATTCAAGTCATTTAAGAAAAATGTCAGTGATATAAAATGCCACGCTCCGGTCCAACAAAACCAGCACAACACAAAAGCCTGAATCCAGTAGGGGTGCTCCGATCAGGATTTTTGAGGCTGATCACCGATCGCAGAAAGCAGTATCTGCCGATACCGATCTTTTAAAGCAGTGTTACTCATTGCGCGGCTCGCGAGCCTCATGCGGCTTGCCAAGCTTTAATGTGTGGCTCGCATGGCAGATGGCAGTAAATAATGCGATTATTTGATCAATACAGATATTTAATAAAAACATTAAAAACAAGCAGGGCTAAAACTATGCCATTAAAAAAACACCGTGTCTACACTGGACGCGAGCGTCGTGGTGCGACACGACAAAAAGACAATAGAACCCATTTTAATTATGGCCCTATGATTTCTGCGATGCGGAAAATGCAGACGGAATTGCGGAATCCAGTCATAGAAACAGAATGTACTGTATAACGCGGAATGTCACGGAATTTGTCAGTTTGGGTGAATAAATCAAAAGTAGGTCATTGCACTTAACCCTTATGTGGTTTTCGGGTCCTTTTTGCTCTGAAAAAATTATTTTTCCCGAAAATGCTAGTTATATGTATGTCTCATATGTTATCGCATTGGACTGAAATTGTGACTTTGTTCACAAAGGGTAGAACTACTTCTAAAAAAAATTATAATTTTCATACTTTTCTGGGGGAGATTTTTCACCTTGTTACACTTGTGATGTTCCAGGGCAAAAATGACCCGGCCTCAAAAAAATGCTTATAAATCACGCATTATGCTATATTATCAACAAAGATTGTAATCAATCTTTTTGTCAACTTATCTTTCATTTAGGACTGGTTTTGTATTTATATTTGCTTCTGATTAATCGTAGGCCTCATTTATCTGAGAGTAGGCACCTCATTTTTTGAGTGAAAAAAGCATTATTTATGAATTTTCACAATATGAAATAAAAACTGAAGAAAATTTGCACTGTTTATCACACTAGTGTACTTTAATGTTTAATCAGGGAGTTTGCTTTTAAATGCTTTTATTTTGTACAAAATGGCACAAAGTCACACTTGTGGTGTTCCCAGTCAAAAATGTCCAGCCATTCAAAGTGAATGGGAAAGAATGAAAGTAATAGAAACTATTAGTGTTCAGGAGCATGTTGATCATGTTCACATTCACATATGTACATGTGCTTGCAAACATAAAGGCCTTGGACCTGTTCATGTTTGGATGCATGCATGCATACGCTAACACACACACACACTTATACAAACTATTGGGAGTATTACAAGTTTTCTATTTCATCCTACCCTGAACTGCTTCCAATATCATTTCATCAATCTGATAGTATAACTCTCTCACTCTCTCTCACTCTCACTGTCACTCTCTCTCACTCTCACTGTCACTCTCTCTCTCACACACACACACACACACAAACTGGCTTCACCCTGCTTCAAAATAATCTTTCTTTCATCTTCTTTCTTTCATCACACCTTCTAGACAAAATATTATGACAATAGATATTGAGGCTTTCATGTTCTCACAAAGCAGACAAAAGTTTACTAATAAATGCTTTAGCACAAAGA